CTGGAAGAAAACCTTAGCAGAAGATCACATGCATGTGGCCATCATAGACAGTCCTGTAATGGGGTATTTTGTATTGTTCCCCCTGTATGTGATGAATGAGGCTATAAAACCCACCCGATCCAATTTAGACGATTCAGTTAATGAGACCCGATCCAACTCGACTCGAATTGGGTGGATGTTAGAAGTCCTGAGAACATGATGTAATTAATAATTTTATAACATGTCACTAAAGTAAGATTTATCACAATAAGACAAATGATCCAGCAAAAAGGCAGATTTAGCAACAACTAATACTACGTATTCAAAATAGTAAGGGCATGTTTACTAACAGAGATATTTTCCTGTTTTCTACTTCTGTTTTTCGTTCTCCAATTTTCTGTTTTTATTTTTCAGTTTTTCTATCTCCAATTTTCTGTTTCTATTTTTTAGTTTTCCATTTTCAAATCTGAAAACATGTTCATCAATTTTTTCATCCAGTTCTCCAATTCCACACCCTTGACCCCTACCATTACCACGATCTTACACTCTACCCATACTCCCCCACAACCCTTCATACCCACCCATACCTACTCGTAGGGGTCGGGGTAGGGAAGTTATGGGTGGGGGTGGGGTAAGGGATATGGTCGGGGTGGGGTGGGGTGGTAAGGTCTAGGTTTAGGGGGTTGGGTGGGGGTAGTGGGTGGGTTAGGGTTGTGGTTAAGGGTAAGGGTGGGGTACTGGGTAGGGTTTGGGGTAAGGTAGAGGTAGGGTATGGAGTTGGGATAGGATGGCGGTAGGGGTGGGGGTAGTGGGTAGGGTTGGGGTAAGGTAGGGGTAGTGGGATAGGATGGCGATAGGGTGGGCCTGAGATCTGGGTGGGGCCGAGGTAAGGGAAGGGTAGGGTGGGGGGTAGGATGGTGGTCGGATGGCGGAAGGGTGGGGGTAGGATGGAGGTATGAGGGTAGGGGTAGGATGGCGGTGGGGTGGGGCCGAGGTAGGGGCGGGGTAAGGGGTAATATACGGGTGGGGGTAGGGTAGGGTGGGTCTGGGTGGGGCCGAGGTAGGGGAAGGGTATGGTGGGGGGTAGGATGGTGGTAGGATGGCGGAAGGATGGGGGTAGGATGGCGGTACGAGGGTGGGGGTAGGATGGTGGTGAGGTGGGGCCGATGTAGGGGCATGTGGTAAGGGGTAATATACGGGTGGGGGTAGGATAGGGTGGGTCGGGGTGGGGTCGAGGTGGTAGGGGTGGCGGTAGGGTAGGGTGGATCGGGGTGGGGTAGTGTCATTATAGGGAAAAATGGGTATATGGGGTGGGGTTGGGTGGGTAGGATAGGGTAGGGTAGGGGTAAGGGGTAAGGTATGAGGATGGAGGTACCAGAATGGAATCGACATCGGAGCGGGACCGGACTCACCACTAGGTGTAAGTATGCAAATTCATTGCAGCGGCACTGTAGCATCTGCGTTTTTCAAATTTGGAAAACTAGTAAAAGTCACTTCTCTAAATCATTAAGGAAAAGAGAGACATGTCTCATTTTTTCCGTTTTGGAAAATGATTTGGTAAACACATTTTTCTTTTTTCCTTTCTCCAGTTTTCCAGGAATTTCTTTGGTAAACACGTTTCCTGTTTTCTGTTTTCCAGTTTTCCAGTTTTCTGGAAAACTGGAAAATATCTCTGTTAGTAAACAGGCCCTAAATATTGCGTGGACCACAACTCGGTCAAATAAGTTTCAATGTCAAAAGATTAACTTAATAACATATTTAAGAAGGTACGTGTGTGAGATTGCAAACAAGATATCTTCTCGTCTCTTGATGCTTCGCTTGAAATGACATATCACCAATTAAAAATTAAAAGAAATGAAAGATCTACTTTTGTCTAACCCCCCTTTTGTTATTTTTATATCACAATTCAATTTTGTTAGTATACTACTATACTGTTTTTTTTGAAACTTTACTATATATTTACAATTCTTTCCGAAAAGTGTTAACATATGTGATGCAATGTAAAAAATTATTTTTTTATTCTTTACACTTTAAAATTACGTTACATATTTTATATGATGATAAATAGTCCAAAATTAAAAACCAGTGAATTTAATTTATTACGTTTAAACAAAACAAAAGAATTTTACTTCAAAAAAATATAACAATGTGTTCAAAATTCTGCAACACGACTGAAATTAATATTTATGAATTTGATGTGCTTCATTTACAAGGGAAAATATGATAATTTTGCAATTCAAAATTAAAGAGTTAATATTTTTACATAAAAATAAATATTTATTTTTAACTCTTTAATTTATTTATTTTTTAATTTCAAAATTTAAATTTATAAGTTTATTTTTGTTTTTTAAAATTATTTTATTTATTCAAAGTCAGTAAGGAAACATTAGGAGTGTCTTTACACCATTTTGAAGCTCAAGGATATATTTAAACTTCCATATGTACTTCAAAGGTATATTTGCACTTTCCCTTCCAAATTAAGCAGGGGGGTCCGATTTATTAGGACAAAAATATATGGACCGTGCTTGTGAATTAAATAAAAGCATGTATTGAAAGAGCATTTTTTAGGAGTCACGGTTTTTTTTTGGAAATCTTTCTAATCTATTACAATATCGGTTTTGCTAAGGTCAACATCTTTGAATTGAGATAGGATTCGAACCGGTGACCTGGGAGTCACTGTTAGTATATTGTATATATGAGCAAGAATTTTACTAAGGCTATGTTTGGCATGACGAGCTGAAGCTGGAGGCTAATGTCTGAAATAGATACTATTGTCTGAACTAGAGGCAATTGTATGGAGCTGAATTTTGAAGTGCTGAATCTGAAACAGTAGCTGAATAGAGTAGACCCGTTTGGCAAAGAGAGCTGAAAAAGTGTTAGGATAATATGAAATTACCTTTAAGGGTATATGATTTATTAATAGAATAAATTATTTATTATAATATTTTTAATATTTTCAGCCTTTTAAAATTTTAGTACATACTCAAACTATAATACTACATCTACACATCTCAAACTAAATTATTTTGGGAGTAATTCTGCTACCGTCAACCTGCTCCCCCATATTGATCCCCGACTCCCTGTGAGCTTTCCGCATGAACCACAAAAACACCCCGGTAAAATTGCTTTGTAATGGAGCATATATGCTCCAGGTGAGAGAATGACAAAATGAGTTTTTGAAGCTGTGTGAGACGTGAATTCAGGTTGGGTCAGTCAGGGATATTCTTGGAACGCGGAAGTTTTCTTTCCATGGGCTGAATGAAACGCTTCTGTTGTAAACGTCTGATTTCAGTCATACAATTTCAGTTCAAGCACATATAAGCCTTTCTGTCAAACAAGTTTAATGATATTGTAATTAGCTTAATTTGGAAATTTTTAGCCGATGATCACCTGAAAAAGTCTGCCGAACATAGCGTAAATATCAATGATGGGTAGTACCAACTACCAACCTACCAAAAGTACTAGGGGGCCGACGGGCCGTAAACGAATGGTGGACTACTCGGGTTTGGACTCGTTTAGGGTCTCTATGTGACTTGTTTTAGAGCTTGATTGTTAAGTGAACAAGGGTTGGACAATGAGAAACTCGTTTGATTTAGGCTCATGAACAACTCGGTCACAGTGTGGTCATGAACAAATTGTGTTGTAGTTCATATAAGGGTACATGAAAAGTTCTGATAAGTGATCATAGTTTTGTATCTTTCTAAAAAAAAATCCATAGCACTAATCCGTTTACCCATATGGCCATATGGCCATATGTTTATTGCTCATACAAGTTCCATTTAATTACTCCGTACAAAGGTACAATCACTCATTTACCCGCACAGGAGCTCGTTTGGTAACTTTGTTCTTCGACTTATCAATCAACTTTTTAACCGCACACGTAACTTTTCATTTTGCGAACTGAATTTGTATATGATAGAGTATTAATTCTAGAGAGAAGCGAGAGCTAGAGAGAGAAAGTGAGTAATTATATTTCTCAACCCCCTATAATGAGCCCCTTGGGGTCTATTTATAGGTAAAAATGTGGATTTGGGCTCCTAGCCATGGGCTTAGGAGGCCCATTACAATAATTATGCCTTCTTTGGACGAAATAGGGCCACTAATGGGCTGTGTACAATATTTAGTAAATAAAGTAGGGAGATGCATTCTGCCCGTACGAAGCCGAGCCGACGCGGTGCCTTTTGGCCGATGCGGTCCCATGGCCGATGCGGTCCATGGGCCGATGCGGTCCCGGGAGTCCATGCGTGCTTCCTGGGCTGGTTTGGTTTCTGGCCGATGCGGCCCCACTGGCCGAAGGGGGCCACGTGGTGTTCTGCTAGCCATCGTTGACTTGAGTATGTGGGCCATGGGGTCCAGGCCCATATACTCTATCAGTATAATAAGAAAAAATAAGGTTGTAGTTACATTCCTGGCTCTATTGACTGAAATTACCGTAGATGATCATTTTAATTAATTTTCATGCATTTTTTCTTTATTTTATTAATAAAATATATTTTAAATATAATTTATTCATAAATTAGTAGAATCAACCGATATAGCCACTTCGACTAGAACTTCATAAATTTCAGAAGAATCAGCTCATTTTAGAGCTCGTTTGGTAACATTGAAATTGGCTTAATCGGATGATTCTGTTGAAATTCATGAAATTCTAACTGAAGTGGTTGGATTGACTAATTCTGCTATTCATGAAAAAAAATATATTTAAAATATTTTTTATTGCTAAAATAAAGAAAAATATATATGAAAAATAGCTAAAATGGTCTGCTACAATGACTTCAGCCATACGGTCAGAAAAGTAACTTCAACCTTACCTTTTTTTTATTATTACACAGTTCAGCGCGTGAAATAAAAAATTACGTATTTAATAAAAAGGTTGATTGATGAGTCTGATAAACCCAAAAAACAAGATTACCAAATGGGCTCTCAATGTTAACCATTGGTTGCATATTCTCATTTCTGTTTTGGGATTCTTTTGGGCACCTAGCTCCCTGTATTTATGCATATATTTAGTTTTTACTCCCGACAAGTACTTCAATCACATTTTGCTTAAAATTTTAGTGAGGACTCCATAGCTTACGTAGTTCTGGCCTTCTGGGAGCCAACGTTGATCCGCCTCTGCCGATGGGTGTCAAACGGTCCTCGCAGGTGGCAACAAGCGACGATGACGGCGAAGAGTCGCCGCCGGCGCCGTCACTGGCAAATTCCCAGAAACGCAATAAAACGCCTCTCGGCGAGGATTACGAAGGAGAGATGCATCACAAGGAGGTAGATAAGATCAGTGAGGATAAACGGAAAGTAAGCAAGCGGAAAACGGTACAAGATTTAGAGGTTGATGAAGACTGCGAAGAGACAGGAGAAGGGGACAATAGGAGGAAGAAGGAAGTGGTAGAAAGTGAAGCGGAACCCTCTTCCGGTGAAGATAAGCAGCAAGAAGAGCCGCATGAGGATGCCAAGCCTGTCGGCGATGCCGTTAGGGTTAGTGGAAAAGGGAGAAGCCGGCGGCGGCACTATGACGCCTTTGAGTATAATGGATACCAGTTTTGCCTAGTGAGTGTGATTGTATTTTATTTTAGTGACGTTTCTCGTTGCTTAATTTGCTTGAACTGTAGCTCATTTCCAGGTAAAATGCTTGAGTACCTTAACTATTACTCCATATTATTGTTTCACTTTGGTAGTTTAACTCTGAAATGAAACAAATGAGTACCCTATCTATATGCCAACCTTTGGACTGGTAAGACTATTCGAATTTCCGGCTAAAAAATCATAAGTGGCAGCTGGAATTACCCGGAATTACATGCATACAGTCTACGGTACATTACTTTTATCCATCATGACTTCTGGCTGACACCTAGCTTATTTTGTTCGGAAATTTGAATAGTATTGATGGTTGAAACATTTACTAATAATTATAGTGCCCATTTGTTTCATTTAAGATTTAAGATATAAAATGCAACGATACTAATAGTTCAGCTATTGTGTATGCATTTTACCCAATTTCTTGCTATTGGACCAGGGTTTGCCTTCTCCCAATGCGATTCATAAAATATATGCTCTTTGAGATTGTCTAGACTGGTTCCGCTAGTGAGAAATTCAGAATTTTTTTTATGCTGAAGGGGGTCATGTTTCTCCGTAGAAATGATACAATTACTATTGCAAAAAAAAAACTCAGGATCTGGATTCCCAACTTATAAATAACCCCTATCTTCGTAACTTATGAATAATACATCCTCAAGCTCTTGCTTTAAATATTACTCCCTTCATTCCACAAAACTTGACCATATTGACTTTCCTTGGTCAATGATAGCCAAATTTGACCAATGATATTTATTAGTATGAAATTATTTGAAATATGAAAATTATATGGAAATACTCTTTGTTAAAAATGTATAAGTTTTACACAACTATAATAACTAAAATCATTGTCCAAAGTTCACTATTATTGATCAAGAAAAGTCCATTTGACCAAGTTTTGTGGGATGGAGAGAGTAACACTTTGGAGCCCATTTTAAAAAAGTGACTACTTTTACATATGGACAAAATTGCAGCTAATATGCTATTAAACTGGAAAACTGTAAATATCACTACTAGTTGTTTATTATGTCATAAGCAGTTACATTAAGTGTCACTACTGACGACCCTCTAGAAGGTAATCTCATTACATAAGGTAGTTTTATACGACATTCTGATATTCATTTTTGTTCAAATGGAATATCTTTTGCTTGCGTTTATAGTGTTAGTGAATTTTATATAATTAATTGTCATCCTAAACTTAATGCCACTGATCCCAACTAATTGGGATTAAGATGATGATAATGATGCTGATGTACATTTCCATATTATTTACATAAAGTATCTAATTTCTTTCCATTACGTATTTTTGTTACCTCTAGACATCATACACTTCCACAGCCCCATATGTATAGGGTTTTCAATAGATTGTGCTTCCCTTTTGCATATGTTACTATGTGTTATTTCTGTCTAGGAGGACTCTGTGCTGATAGTTCCGATGGAGACAAAACAAAAGCCTTGTGTTGCTATTATTAAGGTAATTCACTAATTGTTGTGATCAACATAAATTTTTTCCCTGTTTTTAACTTTTGTTTCTTACTTTCAACTTTTTTAAAATTGCGAGCGTCCGTGACCTTTGACCCAAACAATCCTGCGCGCCGTGAAGTTAATGACTGGCGCGGGGGGATTCGAACTAGTGGCTTCAGAGAACTTTTTGTTCTTGGGTACAAACCAGTTGAACAATTCCAAAAGGTTCTTACTTTAATTTTTAGTTGTGCTGAATGAGTATCAAGCATCAAATTCTCTTACGTCTTATTCTTCTGTTTTTATGTTTCTAGATCCCTTACACTGTTTTAAATTAAACATGTCTTTCTAAACTTAATGGAGATTGTCCAATTTTTTCAGCAATGGAATGCATGCATATTTTTGTCCAATTTTCTTTTTTAGGCCAAGTATTGGGTGCTCTAACTTCTTATTCATGTAACATATGATGGTCTCCATTATTTGTGTTATAGTAAAATCATTCAATTTACAAGAAGTTTCTGTTCCCTTTGATTTATGTCTGTATCCCCCCCCGGATGTGATATGCAGGATATTTCCATGACCAGCAAAGGGAGAGTGATGATAACTGGACAGTGGTTTTATCGACCTGAAGAGACAGAAATTAGAGCAGGTGCGAACTGGCCATCTTGTGATACAAGGGAACTGTTCTATAGCTTTCACCGCGATGAGATTCCTGCAGAGTCTGTCATGCACAGGTGTGTGGTGCATTTTATCCCTTCAAACAAGCAGATTCCAAGACGCATTCAACATCCTGGCTTTTTGGTCCAAAGAGTCTACGATACAGAACAAATGGATCTTTTTGAGTTGTTAGATAACAATCATGAAGATAGCAAGCAGCATGAGCTTGATCTCTTAGTTCAGAAAACATTTTCTCGACTTGGGGATCTTCCTGACATTGAGTCTGAGCAGGAAGAGCTTTTGATTAAGCAGAAATGTCTTTTGAGGAAAAAGAGCACCACTTCTTTGGATGTCTATGTAAGGGATGAACGACCTACAAGATCAGTAGACACAGCACATCACTTCAAAGCACTTTCTGACTTCAATGCCCTTACCGGTGAAAAACACCGTGACAAGTGGTTGGAAAAGCTTCTCGAAGCAATTCAGTCTGTAAGCATTTCGCGTGGTGGTTGTGAAGGTGGCGATGTTGATGAAAGCAATGTTTTTTATGTAAGTTATATTTCTGTCTCGTCTGAATGTTTCTCGTACGATCTTATTCAAATAAGAGTTCAGATAACAAGAAGTAATTAGCAAAGGAGATATGGTGAACAAGACACACCTAGGTGATCTTTTTAGTAAAATGGGGCTCACGGAACACCAAAGCAGTTTGAACTTATACATTCTGCTCTGACTTTTTTAATAATAAAAAATATATGCATTCAGTGTTCCGCGTCTTCCGTCCTGATTGTTTTGATAGAGTATCAGGTTATGTAGACATTGGCTTTGATATGTTTAGCCCTATCCTTCACAGGGAGATGTGAAATTTTGTTGGCCAGACATTGCTGTTCCTGCAGTAGCTGCTGTTGAGAGAGCCGCATATGAAGAACTCTCATCTGATATCCATAAATACAATAAAAAAATGCACCAGCTATGTTTTAATTTGAAGGTTTGCTTTGGTGATGCTTTTCTTTAACCATATTTATGGACATGTATCCTGGGGATAAAAGTAATGGGTTTTGCTTAGCATATACTCCCTCCGTCCCTCAATACTTTGCCAAGTTTGACTGGCACAGGATTAATAAAGTAAAAACTGGAACCACAAATTCTTTACTTAAAAGGGAAAGTGGCAAAGTTAGTGGGACATCCAAAAAACGAAAGTTGGCAAAGTTATAAGGGACGAAGGGAGTATAATGTTTTCTCTGGAGGAAACGTTTAGATGCTCATCCATGTTTTATTAGCTACAAACCTTAGCTTTTATTTGAACTTCATTATATATGGGTTTTCAAATTGTTTGTAAATTTATTTTTATTTTGCAGAACAATGCGCAATTAGCTCAACAACTTCTAAAAGGGGAGTTAGAAGCTTCACAAATATTGACCATATTATCAAAAGAATTGAAAGTATGTGATCCTTTCTATATATTTGTTGTTGTTTATTTCATTGTTACACTTTGCTTTCATCTTCTTTAAATTGTTTGGGAAGACACATCTAGCCCAATTTATTAACCAAATTGTAAGGTGGAGATTTGATTGTGATCAATTGGGTGGTGGTTAAGAGCATGGGGAGGGGGAAAAGGATATCAATAATGGAAATTAGGTACTTCCTCCATAGGCATATCTCATTTTGTTAGATCTAAGCAAATGTTAAGACTTGTACTATTTACAATTTAGTTTTTGCAATATAATTTGCATGTCCCCAAATTTTTTGGGGAATAAGGCTTGGATGTTGTTGTGTTGTTGTAATATGATTTGCATGAATTTGTAGTTCTTACTAATTTAGACAATATCTTGACTCACAGAATGTGCGCTAATATTATACTACCTCCGTCCCACTATGGTTGGGACAAATGAGTGTGGCACAACTTTTAAGAAAAAAATGGAATTGTGTGGTTGGTATTGAATTAATAAAGTGTAAATAAAGTAAAAATGAATTGTAACCACCCAAATATTACCAATAATGTTATGCGACAAACTTAATGGGACGGACGTAAAAGGTAAAACAGGACAAAGTTAGGGGGACGGAGGGAGTAAATAATACCACCATAACCCCAACTTGTTGGGGAACTAAGGGCTTGTGGCACCATAACTCGAAATAGTTGATTTTAAGGTGATACTAATTTTTAATAACTGAACAAAGAAATTTATTTCCTATTTGACCACTAGATAATTATTGGGTCATACAACAGGATACACGAGAGTATAATTTTGGAGTGAGCGAAGAAGGGGACGGTATATGTGTGTCTCCCTTTTGTTTGGCACAGGGGTAAGGTTTCATACATCCGACCTCCCTTACCCCCCACCATAGGTTGATTCATGTTGGCCGACCCCAAACTCTTTTTGGATTAAGGCTGGGATGTTGTTGCACAAGAGGATAGACAGTGCACAAAAATACAATACTCCATAATATAGCTTAAGAGGGACATGGGGTTAAATCTAGAATACGTCACCAGCTATTTCCTCTCTAGCCAAAGCAAACCCGAAGAAAGGCTATTGATTTACATACTCCTAGTTGTTTAGATTCTGGAAGTTTTATTTACCTATTCTTCAGGTAACTGCAGATGTGATTTTAGCATTTTTATTTTTGAATGATGCATCCACATAGTTACCCCAATAAGATTAGGATTGCAGTTTTGTGCTTTTGTTGTTGTAAGGATTTGCCCTTCAATTTAATTACAGAGGAAATAGCATGTAGGCATTCTGATAGTATGATTGCTGCCCTTACACACCATCTGCTTATTCTTCATTAGATAGCATAATTGTTGGACTTTTTTAATTTTATGTTTGTGGCATTCTCTTGAAATGATTTTCTATTGTATCCAATGGAGCCAAAGACTCGCTATTTTTTGACTTGAGAATATGATGGAATAAAGCAAAATGGCTCACTAAACTTTTTGCGCTTCTGTGTTATGAAGCAACATTCAGTCCATGCAATTTTCGACGCTACTTTCATCATGGGTAATATGATAATATTCTCTCTATGCTTTAGTACAAGTGTAAGATTGAATATATCTGACCCCCTTACCGCACCATAGGTGGGAGCCTTTGTGGCACTGGGGTAATGTTGTTGTTGTTAGTTGTTGGCATTCTCTTGAAATGACTAAAGCTTAAAATCTGTTGTTGAATTGGTTGACATAGTTACTACTTACTATTTTGAATTTCAAAGTGTGGTGGTCAGTGTAATAAAGCTTGTGTTGGCTAGAAACTAGAAAGTTAAGATTCATGGCATTCGAGAAATTGCTGTAACTTTTGATTTTGGCTTGATGCAATAAGGGTAGCGAGGAACAAGTGTGCCTCTTAGAAATCATTCAGGCAGGACATAAGGAGCGCTGTGACGCTGTCTTTCTCTTACTATCAGATAGAGCATCAATGTTTCCTTCCTCTAGATTGTTGGGCTCAATTACAGTCTGTTATTACAGTCTGTTTAAAGCTTTAGTCATATAAATACACGATAATGATCACGACTTTTTCTTTTTCAAACTTGTGGGACCAGGGAAATGGTACGGAAAGAAAAAAGAAAGGTAATGAAAGAAATCATCCAAAAAATGTCTGAATTTATGTTAGATTTTATGTAGGAGCCAGAAAAAATAGAATAAGAATATGGTGGGGGGAGGGTAGAAGGGGAATTTAGAAAGAAAGCAAAATTAGTGGAAATATATATTACTACTCATATTAACATATAGGCTAAAGGGTCAAATAGGCCCTCAAGCTAACTTATAAAGTGCAATTCACCCCTAATATAGGAGGCTTTGTCCGGCCGTCGCCAATTGGGGCTGTTCCTAGTGGAAATTTTTGATGATTTTTTTAGCATCGTCTTCATTAAGTCTAATTTTCTCGTACCAAATTTCAGCTAAAAATTTAATCAGGAAGGCAGTCAAATAAATTTTTGAAGATAACTACGTAGTTAAACAGCACAGTACATTTGAGAAAATCATTTGACTGTCTTCTTGATTGAATTTTTATCTGAAATTTGGTATAGGTAAACTAGAATGAATGAAAAAGATGGTCAAAAAATTTCATCAAAAAATTCCACCGCGAACAGCTCCAATTGGCGATGGCCAGACAGAGCCTCCTATATAAGGGGTGAATTGCATCTTTTAAGTTAGTTTGAGGGCCTATTTGACCCTTTAGCCTAACATATATTACTACTGGGTACTCTCTCTTTCCCATGTGTGATGATCGAGTCCAGACAATATTTTGTAAGCACTTTCCAAAACAGAGTAGCATACAAGTTTAATTAACAAGTTTCTTTTTTGGGATGGAGTGGTACAATAAAAAGGCAAAGAGTGACTTGGTGGGATGGAGTATTAACTAAAGTAGTGGAGGTTTTGGACATATGTATTAACCAAAGCCTTATATAGTGTTTTATTGTTTTATAGCTTTCCGGTGTGGGACAAATACTTCTTTAACGATATGGAGTTCCACTTGGGGTCTTTGGGATTTCGTGGATGATTTCTAGTGCATCATCAAATTCATGTGGAGATTTCCCTATAATTGGGTTCCAGAAAATTTCGTATTTAGATTTCCTATTTTGGATCATAACTTCATCGTCTCAGCTGGAGTGTGGACCATGTGAGAGTACTAGGTACCCATCAAGAGATGACTTTGCAACACTCACTGTACAAGAAGAGCAGAACATTGCAAGAAATGTTACACGGGACAACACTTGAGCTCCTCTTCTCCAGCCCCTGAGGTGGAGACAAAGAAGAAGCTGGCTAATGCGCGAGCAGTTAAGATGGTAGAAGGCACAGCTGACAATGCCTGAGTGAATGACCACTCTTCAAATGTATTCGTTTGGCTTCAAACAACCGGGTTATCTATTTTGGGGCATATCTTTGTTATCATAAGCTCGATGATGACCGCGCCTGCTAGTTTACTCTACTCATCATCAGAGTAAATAGAATGATTTATTTGTAGTAAATAGATTAATAGAATTATCATTATGATGACTAATAAATTAATGGCAGCATTAGTCAGTTAGAACGGAGGGACAATACTTTTGTAACAATGTCATTTCATAATCAGACAGCTGTGTATATGTATGTGCTTTATTACAGGTTCTGTAATTTGTACATGCTTTAGTAGTAGAATCATTGGAATATTGGACAGCACAACTGCACAAATTTTACCGTGATAGCAGTTGTATTTTACCGTGATAGCTTCCATGCCATATCAGTTTTGGTGGTGGGTCAGTCTTAGTGTCTTACGATCAGAGTTCGTTTCATAATGCCAAATACTTTCAAGTGAATGGATTTACTGAAATCATGCTTGAAAATGGTTGGATCTCTTCAAGTTCTATGTCAATTGGGCGTTTGCATCTCTTTTTGAAAGTATTACTCCGTATTGTTTTTGTTCCCCAAATTTCAGAATTTGTACCCCATTCGTTCTTTGATTAGAGTGTACCTTGTTTTATTCTAACTTTTGAATCCAAATATTAATGACTTTCTAAATTAGATCAAAACTCAAATTTTAACGAAAAGCGGTATACAAAATACGAACTCCGATTCCCAATATTTTTCTCTAAATATTTATTTGCTTTTAAACAGATTAACGCCTTAACGGAAATGTAATATCTAATTACATTCGTATTGTTTTCAGTTTTTCAGTTTCATGTATTATGATTCTAAAAGAATATATTTCATAAATCATAATGAATAAAAAAATAATCATGTATATCGTGATGCTAATTTAATAATGTAATTTATGAAGGAGCTGATCACTATTAATTTATCTTTATTAACTTGTAAATCACACCTTATAACTACTAAGTTTGTTGGCATTCTAAATGCACTACCTTCTTGGCTTCTTCGGAAATTTTATGTTAGTAATCCATAATTCCTATTGATATTGTAATCGATTATTCGTGAAATGTGTACTATTATTTGTAATATCGCTATCATATTGTAATCGAGTATTTGTGAAACTACGATAGCAACCTTCATAGTTTCAATTTGAAGGTAGTACATTTAGAGCATATCCAATGCACTCAGTCCATTCACTCCATTGCAAGTGAAGTGACAAAAATTGATCTAGGTCTATTTAGAAGGTGAGTCCACTATTGACAAAAAAGATGGTCCATTGAATGAGACCTCCAATGCGCAACAATGAAGTCAAATACTAGTACAAAACAAAAGGAAAATATCAGAAAACAAAGAGAAAAACAAACATATGACAATCTATAAATGTAGGCCCACTTTTGCTTGTCAGAAGGTTGTACTGAAGGTTCATATATCTTATATGGACCTTGTGCTGGACTATGTTACCATTTACAAATGCCACATCAGCTCAACCATGTCCACTTTATATTTGCATTGAAATAGACAATTATCTTTGAGGTGTGCATTTGTTGAGGCAGAATCATAATTCATCTTAGCATTGGAGATGCCCTTATAATGTCAACAAATCATGACTGGATGAATATAGTTTGAATTATAATGGCAACCTAAACAAAACATAATGAATCTGAGCAGTGTGAAATCCATGATTAGATGCTACATCTTGAACGAGTAGCACATCTTCACCATCCATCATTTTCTTTTGGACTTTCAAATCTCTTATAGTGTCTGGGATGTTTAATGTCCATGATACGCTTGTAATTTCCGTATGTATGTTTATGTTTTTAGTTAGTTTTAGTTGTTTAATATTTCAGAAATTACACACTGTTGAGGTTTAGTCCCATAGATCCGGAAGCCCAACATAAACTTCGGATATTAAGGACGATCGATTCTGTATAAACCTAAATAAAATATATAAAATGTGTATGAACTAGCTATTTTTACGTGGAAACTCGGAAAGGGAGAAAACCACGGGACTTTTTAGGCTAACGTCCAAGCCCGCTCTTTCTCATTAATATCCTCCCATCACTCAATACATAGTACATATGTTGAACTCCATTGATGGAGGTTTGTGAGCTATCTACAAAGAGGAAGAAGAAACAGTAAAGGAGAGGGGGAGAAATTAGCTCCTGGGAGCCAAAAGAGAGATCTTTTAATCAGGAGGCTTCGCCTCCTATTTATAGAAGGGGAGGGGGGTTTTTTAGGGCTATGCTAATGGGCCTTAATGGGCCAAAACAGGTCCAAGTAAGCTGAGTAGGCCTAACTGGCCCTAAATGGGCCCGAGGGGCCTAAACGGGCCTCGTCGATTGGACCCCATACCGGGGCGGTGTATTGGGCCTCTGAACAGTAGTAGGCCGGGGTAACATACCCCAACACAAGTCCCCCAGTTTCTTGAGTAGTGAGCCTGCAAATCTACTCGAGAAAGTATAATCCTGCTCACGTCCTTCCCTGCCTTCCCTGAATCAGAGTCTTGGAATAATCTCGGACGCAAGGCATGCATAAGCCATAAGTGAGGTGCAATCCCGCACTAGGCACGACGACGCTAAAGAGCCAGCCGCTCGTGCTGCATAAGACGGCGGTCCCGACCATGAATGGCATGGGTGGACCTGACCGAGAAGAAGGCACGACGGCGCTGTAGAGCCAGCCGTTCATGCTGCATAAAAGCGATGGTCGCCATCCCAGAGCAAGGATGGACGAGCCCGTCAGAAAGCCATGCACGACGGTGCTGTGGAGCCCGTACGTGCTGCATAAGAGTGACGGTCGCCATCCCAGAGCAAGGATGGACAAGCCCGCCAGAAAGCCAGGCACGACGGTGCTGTGGAGCCCGTACATGCTGCATAAGAGCGACGGTCGCCATCCCAGAGCAAGGATGGACGAGTCCGCCAGAAAGCCAGGCACGACGGTGCTGTGGAGCCCGTACGTGCTGCATAAGAGCGACGGTCGCCATCCCAGAGCAAGGATGGACGAGTCCGCCAGAAAGCCAGGCACGACGGTGCTGTGGAGCCCGTACGTGCTGCATAAGAGCGACGGTCGCCATCCCAGAGCAAGGATGGACGAACCCGACTCGGATATACATGGACTCGACTTGACTCAGACAGACAGACCTGGACTTGACTCAGACTAACAGACCTGGCCTTGACACAACTTAGACAGACCTGGACTTGACTCGACTCAGACAGACCACTGCGGGCCATCATGAATTCACATCACCTCCAAGCCAATTTATATCCCCCGTTCGCTCGCCTTCGCCGAACGGGTCGTTCTCCCCTGGCCGAAATGAGACTCAATCAAATCAATAGTTCCATTCGCCCGTTCGTCCCACTAGAACGGTCTGATGTACAACGATGATCACATTGTGCCGAGGTGGCTGATCGTAGAGCTACAGAAGCGGTCAGATCATCTGGATAATAGGTCAATTCTGCTATAAGTCAGCACCAAGGTTAAGGTTCAAGCCGTTCGGTTTATTCCTGCTGGCTTGTTCGTAGTTTCCTGATCCGCAAGACATTAGTTCTTGCTGCCTACTGCCTTGTAGGCCAAAGGCTGATGTAACCTGTTCGGGCTGTCATCCGTGTTTTTCCTGATCCGCAAGGCATTACTCCTTGCTGCTTGCTGCCTTGTAGGCCCAAGGCTGATATAACCTATTCGGGTTATCATCCGTGTTTTTCCTGATCTGCAAGGCATTACCTCTTGCTGCCTGCTGCCTTGTAGGCCCAAGGCTGATGTAACCTGTTCGGGTTATCATCCGTGTTTTTCCTGATCCGCAAGGCATTACCTCTTGCTGCCTGCTGCCTTGTAGGCCCAAGGCTGATGTAACCTGTTCGGGTTATCATCCGTATTTTTCCTGTTGCAAGACAGTTCCACAATTTGTGTAGTGTCCGCCATCTTCCAAACCCATAATTCCGATGCATACCGTCCGGTTTTACCGTCCGGGGTCATCCATATCATGAGGTTGAGATGTCCATCCTGGACCATTGAGAAAAAGGCTCCCAATTCGGGTCTCCCCCTTATCCTCTGCCAAAATGGAGACTCGCCTCCAGGTTACAGCTCGGATTCCACCACAATGAATCACTTCGTCGTGGTTCGTGCGAGCTGCATAGCCAAGGCGAGATTTTAAGACCAGAGTCCCGATACCCCGCTCGGCCACCCTACATTTTCGGATGCCCGCCCAGTTCGTCCTACTCAAGATCTTCACCATCTCCCAAGATCAAAAAATTTGCAGACTCATACCAGAAAATTTGTCGAGCATCAAGAACACATGAATCTTTCTGAAGCGTTTCCCACAGACGGCGCCAATGTTGAGGTTTAGTCCCATAGATCCGGAAGCCCAACATAAACTTCAGATATTAAGGACGATCGATTCTGTATAAACCTAAATAAAATATATAAAATGTGTATGAACTAGCTATTTTTACGTGGAAACCCGGAAAGGGAGAAAACCACGGGACTTTTTAGGCTAACGTCCAAGCCCGCTCTTTCTCATTAATATCCTCCCATCACTCAATACATAGTACATATGTTGAACTCCATTGATGGAGGTTTGTGAGCTATCTACAAAGAGGAAGAAGAAACAGTAAAGGAGAGGGGGAGAAATTAGCTCCTGGGAGCCAAAAGAGGGATCTTTTAATTAGGAGGCTTCGCCTCCTATTTATAGAAGGGGAGGGGGGTTTTTAGGGCTATGCTAATGGGCCAAAACAGGTCCAAGTAAGCCGAGTAGGCCTAACTGGCCCTAAATGGGCCCGAGGGGCCTAAACGGGCCTCGTCGATTGGGCCCCATACCGGGGCGGTGTATTGGGCCTCTGAACAGTAGTAGGCCGGGGTAACATACCCCAACACACACTTTTGGTGTAGTAGTTATGTTTGTAAAATAGTTGTAATATGTTTAGATTAGGTTTATTCTGAGCTTAAACAGGTCCAGGATCAATCAAATGATCATTGGTGAGACCAAAAGAGGAAGAAAAGTGCAAGAATACAAAAAGAAAAAGGAAAGTTCCCGATTTTGACCTGTACCCGGTCGGGTATACCCTATAACCGATGGGGTACCCACTTGACTTTCAATCAGATCAATTCGGGAAACAAAGGGACGTGCAGGGGAAGATTTGGCCACGATCAGTTGTTATACCCGATCGGGTACACCGACACACCCGATCGGGTATACCTATAATTTTTACCCTAAGTTCGATCGAGTATACCTCGAATCTGAGGTTTTACACATACCCGATCGGGTACCCTATGCGTACTTGATCGGGTACCCGAGCTGCACCTCCAAAATGCCTATAAATACACCTCCTTTCCTTCACAAAAAGATACCAATTCCTATACACTTCTAAGTTCAGTCTAGATAAGTTCTTTCTTTATATTTTCTTCATGATTAGTCTCCAAATGAGGAGCTAAACTC